GGCTCCATGCTCCCTTGTCACAAGTGACAAGGGAGCATGGAGCCGGCTTCCTGGCCATTCAGGAAGCCAGACAGTGTAATGACTCGCTGCCCGACTTGTTGATACCGGAAGCTGAAGTATCGGGCCAGGCATTGGAGCATTTGGCATTGGCACCGATATCAGTATCAGTGCATCCCTAATAATAAATGAATTAATAAATAAGAAAAGCGCACAGTACTGGTAAAGCAATGTCCTCAGCGGGTATTGATAGATTTGCAGCAGGTACAGGCAGTAAGAGACACAGGAATGGGGTGCACTGAATCCGGCATCTCCAGAAAAGGGAAGGTGTCCACATTCTAGAATAATGGAAGGGGGGGTGGGGCGCACAGATCTCGCACAATAAAATTGATACATTAGGTATAAAAACCAAGTGGCAACTCATCATCTATATTAAAAGTACAACGCACCTCATCTTCTTAATAAAGGATCTTTTCTCTTTGTTTCCTGCAGGGACCATTTCTCATTACACAAGCCGTGGCCCGAGCTATCGTAGCCTCGGGCCAGAATGGAGGCTCCATCGTCAACATCGGCAGTATTGTGGGAAAGGTGAGACTTTTCCTGGTAATGAAAAGTGATGAGAGAAAATTAATTTACTCATTGCCATAACGGTGGTGTGACCACTCTCTGAACACATTGATGTAAACCCTAAATGAAGGCTATTTGGGGGTCCGTTTGAAGAGAAGCGATATGGCCGTACCGGCTTTGAAGGTAAAAAACATGGCTCGAGTCCTACATGTCGCCTGCTTTTCACCTGCACTCTCTGACAATGTGACTCCAACCTTCCCACCGAGCTGTCCTTAATAATTGGCTGATTCTTGGCCACATTGGAAAAAAAGAAGGCGTGCGTTAATAATGTGCATTTGCCTTCTCTAGCTTTAGGAGGCCAAAGCTGAAAGAGCACTTAAAGTGTATAGAAGTTGGGAGATACAGGTAAGTATTAACCCTTTTTAAAAGGTTTTTGTTATGTTTTTGCATATATCTACTGCTTGCTAGAAGCAGATATATGCAAAAACATGCAAGGGCTTAATAACCCTTTAAAGGAGAACTGGTGTAAGTGTTTTTCCCCATAGTTCTTCTAAGGGTCACGGAAGGACATAAACTAGCGTCCTCCCGTGACCCAAAGCTCAGTATATCGGGAGCTACAGCATAGATGGCGTGTCTGATGCGCTCTGGATGTATAGATGGCGTGTCTGATGAGCTCTGGATGTATAGATGGCGTGTCTGATGAGCACTGGATGCATAGATGGCGTGTCTGATGCGCACTGGATGCATAGATGGCGTGTCTGATGAGCTCTGGATGTATAGATGGTGTGTCTTATGAGCACTGGATGTATAGATGGCGTGTCTGATGCGCACTGGATGTATAGATGGCGTGTCTGATGAGCACTGGCTGTATAGATGGCGTGTCTAATGAGCACTGGATGTATAGATGGCGTGTCTGATGAGCTATGGATGTATAGATGGTGTCTGATGAGCTCTGGATGTATAGATGGCGTGTCTGATGAGCACTGGATGCATAGATGGCGTGTCTGATGCGCACTTGATGTATAGATGGGGTGTCTGATGAGCTCTGGATGTATAGATGGCATGTCTGATGAGCACTGGATGTATAGATGGCATGTCTGATGAGCACTGGATGTATAGATGGCGTGTCTGATGCGCACTGGATGTATAGATGGCGTGTCTGATGAGCACTGGATGTATAGATGGCGTGTCTGATGAGCACTGGATGCATAGATGGCGTGTCTGATGAGCTCTGGATGCATAGATGGCGTGTCTGATGAGCACTGGATGCATAGATGGCGTGTCTGATGAGCTCTGGATGTATAGATGGCGTGTCTGATGAGCTCTGGATGCATAGATGGCGTGTCTGATGAGCACTGGATGCATAGATGGGGTGTCTGATGAGCTCTGGATGCATAGATGGCGTGTCTGATGAGCTCTGGATGTATAGATGGCGTGTCTGATGAGCACTGGATGTATAAATGGCGTGTCTGATGAGCACTGGATGTATAAATGGCGTGTCTGATGAGCACTGGATGTATAAATGGCGTGTCTGATGGTCTAACATTTTGCACCGGGTCATCTTTTAGATATTTAATTGTTGGATCAGCTGGTATATATTATAATATCTCAAACAATAATTTGTGTCTCCCACAGGTGGGCAATCTCGGTCAGTCTAACTACGCTGCAGCCAAGGCCGGAGTAGAAGGTTTGACTAAGACGGCCGCCAAGGAACTGGCTAAGTGAGAAATCTCCTTTTATCTGACTGTCACCCGGTGTCAGTGCAGCATTCTGTAGAACGCGATATTCCTTCCTCTGTATCAGTGGCCTCCTCTGCATCGGCATAGATATAGGCCAAATGTGGGAGCTGTTTATCCAACTTGTACACAGCTGTTTCAGACTTGTTAGCCATCAGCAGTACATGATGACCCCAGAGGTTCCAAAGCACAGCACTATATTTATTTAACACTTATAGGTCTTGTCCCTCCCCCAGCCTGTGACTATGAGAGGAGAAGCAGAAGACCGATTAGCTCATCTCTCTGCTCCCAGAATGCCTATTGTTAGCACATAAACACTGCAGCACAACAGACTGGCTCCTTGTGCTGCTTCTCCCTCTTCCAATCTCAGCTCTGCTGTACATTAGATTGCCAGAAACTGACAGCAGGTTACATTCAGGTGCTCGCATCGCTTGCATTCAGTGGGGTATTCATGAACACAGAGCTGCATTATTTGTGTCTTTTACATCTGCCTGGAGTTCAGCTTTGGCAATGCAGAGCAACTGTTTTAAAATCTTACAACTCTGAATTCTGATTGGATGCTGTGGATTATTTTCAGCTGTATTTATTTATTTCAGGTATTATTTATATTGTGCTGACAATTGACACAATTTGTGCTTTACATGATGTACACATTCACATCAGTCCCTGCCCTCAAGGAGCTTACAATCTGAGGTCCCTACATCAGTGTGAGAGGTCCCTCTCACATACACACGGGGCTGATTTAGTCAGGAGACAAGTAACCTTCCAGCATGTCTTTGGAGTGTGGGAGGAAACCGGAGTATCCGGAGGAAACATACCCAAGCACAGAGAGAACATGCAAACTCTTCGCTGATAGTGTCCTGAACAGGATATGAACTGAGAACCCCCAGTACTGCAAGGCAGTAGTGCTAACCACTAAGCCGCTGTGCTGCCCATCACTGTTCCTTGTATTATATTCTTACAGTAGAACTTCAGGTATGCAAAAAAGCCCTTATAATGGGGCTACCCCCGCACTGCAAGGGCTAAGCGCTGATTTTTCTCTAGGGACCGGAATAAAGAAGATATGGCGACCTGATCCTCGATCCTGCGGCAGTCAGTGCTCACCTCTCTCCCTCTCCGCTCCAGATGTCCCTCCGTTTCCTGACATCTAATGAATAGACTGTATTAGGTATTAGACGTGATTACCTCAGTGGGGCTTAGACTTCCAAGGTCCGGGGGAGAAGAGGCTGTGTGGACCAGTGTAGCTGCCAGCTGGGACCGGGGATAAAATTTTATATATTTCTTTTATTTCAGCCCCTAGAAAAAAACAGCAGTTTACCCTTGCAGTGCGGGGGTAGCCCTACTGCAAGGGTTAACTTTTTGCATACCTGGAGTTCTTCTTTAATAACAATCTAAATGACTCCTCACTAGGGATGCACCGATATTGCGGCATCGAGTACGAGTACCGATTTATTTATTTTTTGTACTCGCCGATACGGAATACCAATACCGGAAGCCCCATCAAGGAAGCCAGGCAGCGTGTAAAGACTCGCCACCCAGCTTCCCGATTAGCAGGTGACAAGAAAGCATGGAGCCAGCTTTCTGGCCAATCAGGAAGCCGGGCGGCGTGAGATGACACGGCGCCTGGCTTCCTGATGGGCCGGGAAGCCGGCTCTATGCTCCCTCGTCATGAGGTGACAAGGGAGCATGATGCCGCCTTCCCAGCCAATCAGAAAGCCAGGTGCCGCGTCATTACACAGCAACCGGCTTCCTGATTGGCCAGCTTCCCAACCAATCAGGAAGCTGGGCAGCGAGATCTCCAACTACCTCACTTCCGGTGCTCAGAAAGACTGGAGCTCTTTACACTTGCGGTGCGCAGGCGCACATATCGATTTCAGAATACATGTCGAGTTTGCCACCTGCTGAATATTGTTAAAATGCAGCTGTACAGAAGCTCCGTCAGTCTTTGTGTTTTGCAGTCTAAAGGTGCCCATACACTGCACGATTCTCGTACGAGTATCGCGGGAAATCCTGCGATCGTACGAGAATAGTGCAGTGTGTGGAAGGCGTGCAACCGTTTCTACTGTACGGTCGCATGTCTTCCATCGAACAAGCAGGCTGGAAAACCCGCCGGGAATGGTACGATTCTCTGCGAGTTAGTGGCCTGCTTGTTCCACAACTGCTGAACGGGCCTGTGTACGCACGCGCACACTGCTCGTTTGCCGTCCTCGCAAGCCCGCCCCTCATTGCAGTCATCGCAAGCCTGCCCCTCAGGGGGGCGGGCTTGCGATGATCGCAAGTACGATCTGCCTGTCCAAGATGGGCAGATCGTACGTTTTTTTAAGTACTTTACAACCCTCGCAAGACAAAAGTCTTGCGAGGGTTGTAGAGTGTATGGCCACCTTTACGCCGTCTGGTCCAAATCTCCAACTTGCAAGTACCCGGCAGTGAGGTAGTTGGAGATTTCGACGAGTTGGAGCTTTCGATAGAACACCGGCTTCCTGATACCGGAAGTATCAGGCTGGGCATCGGAGCATTTGGGCGAGTACGAGTAGTCACCCAAATACTCAGCACCGATACTAGTATCGGTATCGGTGCATCCCTACTTATCAGCCTTGTCTGTAGTCTGTCACATACAGGCGTTGGTGCTTCCAGCTAACAACCAGCGTCTTATCATCTCTCACCAGGTTCGATATCCGCTGTAACACCGTACTGCCTGGATTCGTCTCCACGCCGATGACTGACAAAGTGCCGCAGAAAGTCCTGGACAAGGTGAGGCGATGTGAACTTTATCTGTATCATGTTGTGTCACTCTCGTCTCTTACTTTGTTTTGGACCTTTGTCTGCAGATCGCCGGTCTGATACCAATGGGAAGACTTGGACAGCCTGAAGGTAAGCAACAAAACTTCATCCTCTGGCCATCATTATAGTGTAAGGCAGGAGTAGGCAACCCTGGAACTGCAGCTGTGATGAAATTACAAATCCCATCATGCCTCTGCTTCTGGTAGTCATGCCTGTAGCTGTCAGTCTTGCACTGCCTCATGGGACTTGTAGTTCTACAACAGCTGGAGTGCTAAGGTTGCCTACCCCTGGTCTAAAGTCATTTAAAGCTCAATAATAATCAGGTCTATAATAATGAACATGTTATAGACCTCCCAACCAAAGGCAAACGGGGGGCAAAGCTCTAGTCACTATTGCCTGTGGTGTCCTTACTGGCCAACATTTCAGTCCTGGTTCTTGGGAGATAGTTGGCCCCATCTACAGTCCCCCTCTGTCCCCTGGTCAGACCTCGCCCACTTACTGGAGTGGCCCATCCAAACCCCACCTCTAATTATGTGGGAACCGCCCACTCATGGCCCCCGTTCACCATAATGAATGCTTTATTGAGTTAACGTGTATGCCCAGCAACTCAAATAAAGGTGACAAGGCGATCCTTGGACGTCGTCCGGGATACAGCATCATCAGGACTGAAGTCCAAAATGGGGAACTATCCCGCCAAATCTAGGATAGTTGACACCTATGCTGCAGCTGATCTTCTTCCCATTACTGATTTCTGATGTTTTGTTCTGCTGCGTGCTGAGGCGGCCATCTTGGTAGAGGCAGGGCTTTGCTTGCTCATGTCAGAGCCTCTAGCAAGGAGAACAATGAGCATCACAGTAGTGATATCACCAAATCTCACCCCAAATCTTCTGGGACTAGCAGAGGCAGCAGTGCCTTAGATCTCACAGTGCAGATATACACTTATGATGCAAAGGAGTGCCTAGGCACACTCACACGCAGACAGTGTGCATCCAGGAGTGGGCATCGGGACCTGCACAGATGTCTGTGTGTGCAGCCGCGTCCTCCCATAGGGAGGCATTCAATTACACGCAGCACCTGTCCCTCCCAGGAGCAGGACTATGCACAGTCGTGTGAATGAGCCCCTAGGCTGGGTTCACACCTCAGCATATTGGAAACTCACTTTTGCTGCGCGGTTTTACCGCGATTTGCGCTAAACGAAACGCGCGCAAACGTGAGTTTCCGAGCGGGTATCTGGCTGTATCCTAATGGATACAGTGGGATATGCGCGTTAATACGCCCCAAAGAAGCTCCTGTACTTCTTTGGGCGATTTCCCGGGCGTTCGTACTCACGGAAAAATGCCCAGATGGGAACCATGCACATTGAAAATAATGGCATTTCCCTGTTTGAGCGTTTTTCCGCGAGTATGAACGCGCGGACAAACGCCCAGGTGGGAACCGGGCCTTGAAGAAATATTTTGCCATTTAAGAGATTTTCAATTTTCAATACAAAATACCAGTCTTAGCTGAAATGTTTGATGTGCTGACTTGTACAGTTGTCTTGGATTTGGGGTTTGTTCTTCAGTACAAGTTTCAGGATGTGTAATCTGCTTTTTATCAGTTGTCCCCATTCCTCTGAATTCAGCTGCTTGTTCCTGTCATTGTCGTCCATTTCTCCTCTTCTAGATATCGCAGATGTCTGTGCGTTCCTGGCCTCTAATGACAGCAGATATATCACGGGAGCAAGTATTGAGGTGACAGGTAATAACCAATCAGGTCGGGTCTTTTCATGAATCTTCTGGAAGTCGTCCTTCTGTTTGCTGTTCTGGTTCCTGACGTGTGGTTAAAGTAAACTGTTTAGCCATTTTAAACTGTTACACTGGTCATGCCAAAGTGCAGGATCTACGGAATGCTTGTCAATGACTTTGTTAGACAGAAAACCTCCTTTGTGCCTCTCTGTAACTAGTTTCACTATGTTTTCTGACGTCTGGGTTAATCCATACCTATCTGCTCGCAGCCTGCCCAGTTAGACCAGGTTAGCTGTCATTCATTTTGCTCTGCCAGTCCATGGGGCTGCCCCTTGTCTATAGAACCGCAGTCATAGAAATACTTAGCTGTCAGCAGCTGTGTGCTCTGTCTGGGTCCCTCTGGCCTTTGCTTCTGCCTGCTTGCCAGCACTCTATGCGATGCAGGGGCACTGATTGGCTGGAAGTGTCTGTGTTGTAGACCTGAGGCCACCTTAGATGGTATGGTGATAGGACGGATTATTTTTAAGGACAACCTTTGAAACAACTCTCCTTTATTCAGTTCCGCTACATTGTTGTTTCCTGTGTACATTGTGGTTTCCTGTGTACATTGTGGTTTCCTGTGTACATTGTTGTTTCCTGTGTACATTGTGGTTTCCTGTGTACGTTGTTGTTTCCTCTGTGTACATTGTTGTTTCCTCTGTGTATATTGTTGTTTCCTCTGTGTACGTTGTTGTTTCCTCTGTGTATGTTGTCTTTTTCTCTGTGTACATTGTTGTTTCCTCTGTGTACGTTGTTGTTTCCTCTGTGTATGTTGTCTTTTCCTCTGTGTACATTGTTGTTTCCTCTGTGTACGTTGTTGTTTCCTCTGTGTATGTTGTCTTTTTCTCTGTGTACATTGTTGTATCCTCTGTGTACGTTGTTGTTTCCTCTGTGTATGTTGTCTTTTTCTCTGTGTACATTGTTGTATCCTCTGTGTACGTTGTTGTTTCCTCTGTGTATATTGTTGTATCCTCTGCGTACGTTGTTGTTTCCTCTGTGTATGTTGTCTTTTTCTCTGTGTACATTGTTGTATCCTCTGTGTACGTTGTTGTTTCCTCTGTGTATGTTGTCTTTTTCTCTGTGTACATTGTTGTATCCTCTGTGTACGTTGTTGTTTCCTCTGTGTATATTGTTGTATCCTCTGCGTACGTTGTTGTTTCCCCTGCATACGTTGTTGTTTCCCCTGCATACGTTGTTGTTTCCCCTGCGTACGTTGTTGTTTCCCCTGTGTACGTTGTCGTATCCTCTGTGTACATTGTTTCCCCTGCGTACGTTGTTGTTTCCTCTGTGTACATTGTTGTTTCCTCTGTGTATATTGTTGTTTCCTCTGTGTACGTTGTTGTTTCCTCTGTGTACGTTGTCTTTTTCTCTGTGTACATTGTTGTTTCCTCTGTGTATATTGTCGTTTCCCCTGCGTACGTTGTCGTTTCCCCTGCGTACGTTGTCGTATCCTCTGTGTACATTGTTTCCCCTGCGTACGTTGTCGTTTCCCCTGCGTACGTTGTTGCTCCAGTATACAGCAGACTGGCCCGCGGTGTTCATTGTTCTTTTATCTCTGTCTTCTCCAGGTGGACTGTATTTGTGATCCTGTCTGGCACCTGCAGTACTCGGGGAGCAGCAGGAAGACCTCTGTGTCCACCTTCTACTCCTACGATGGCTCTATATCCTGGTGAAGAGAAGAATTACCATCTATGTATACAGTCTGGCAGACTCTCATGTACCATCCCCAGAGAGCCGGACACAAGCCGAATTATATTTTTGTAATTTTAACCTCTGAATGTGCAATATAAACGCTGCGATTATCAGGAAATGTTTCCTGAGGCCCTGCAAAGAGCTGACGCTTTAGGTTCACAATAGAACAGCTGATGCATTTCGGGGGTTTGAAACACTCCCCCCTCCCCCTTCATCAGAGCTACAAAGAAGTATAAATTAAAATATGAAAATGTCTATAATTGTATGAACCTTCTATAAAAAGTGTAATATACTTTTATATAAGTTTTTAGATTGTTCCCATGGAGAGTTCATATTGTATTGTACGCTTTTTGTAGCCCTGACGATGGAGGAGCATGGTGTTTTGGCCCCCGAAGCGCGTTGGCTATTTTATTGTGAACCTCTGGGTACAGATTGATGGTGCGGGTGACTCTCTGGGTACAGATTGATGGTGCGGGTGACTCTCTGGGTACAGATTGATGGAGCGGGTGACTCTCTGGGTACAGATTGATGGTGCGGGTGACTCTCTGGGTACAGATTGATGGTGCGTGTGACTCTCTGGGTACAGATTGATGGTACGGGTGACTCTCTGGGTACAGATTGATGGTGCGGGTGACTCTCTGGGTACAGATTGATGGTGCGGGTGACTCTCTGGGTACAGATTGATGGTGCGGGTGACTCTCTGGGTACAGATTGATGGTGCGGGTGACTCTCTGGGTACAGATTGATGGTGCGGGTGACTCTCTGGGTACAGATTGATGGTGCGGGTGACTCTCTGGGTACAGATTGATGGAGCGGGTGACTCTCTGGGTACAGATTGATGGTGCGGGTGACTCTCTGGGTACAGATTGATGGAGCGGGTGACTCTCTGGGTACAGATTGATGCTGCGGGTGACTCTCTGGGTACCCATTGGAGGTCGGCCTTTGGAATCAGTTACAGAACTGGAGCTGTGCCGAGGTGCAATGTACAGCAAGGCCTTAATATAATGTGACTGCTATGGGAAACTGGGACCAGTTCTGTCTGACTGCCGAGTGACCGGGAATAACGCCGGATGCAACGAGTGCAGGTTAGAGAGTCACTTTGGAAAGATAAAAGAAAATCAATTAAAATCCAAATTTGAATTAATTTAAAATGAATTAAATGTATTTTTATTGAAAATACTGCGTCTATAACTACTTGCGTTTGTCTGTGTATTGGCTTCCTGCATTCCTCTTCCCCAGAGGGAAGGGCTGTTATAGAAACCAATTAGATCTACAGTGCTGTCAGTTTTCTGGGTTGGGGGGCTGTGATGGGGAAGGGGGATTTCTGGGTTGGGAGGCTGTGATGGGGAAGGGGGATTTCTGGGTTGGGAGGCTGTGATGGGGGAAGGGGGATTTCTGAGTGGGGGGGCTGTGTTGTGGGAGGGGGATTTCTGGGTTGGGAGGCTGTGATGGGGGAAGGGGGATTTCTGAGTGGGGGGGCTGTGTTGTGGGAGGGGGATTTCTGGGTTGGGAGGCTGTGATGGGGGAAGGGGGATTTCTGAGTGGGGGGGCTGTGTTGTGGGAGGGGGATTTCTGGGTTGGGAGGCTGTGATGGGGGAAGGGGGATTTCTGAGTGGGGGGGCTGTGTTGTGGGAGGGGGATTTCTGGGTTGGGAGGCTGTGATGGGGGAAGGGGGATTTCTGAGTGGGGGGGCTGTGTTGTGGGAGGGGGATTTCTGGGTTGGGAGGCTGTGATGGGGGAAGGGGGATTTCTGAGTGGGGGGGCTGTGTTGTGGGAGGGGGATTTCTGGGTTGGGAGGCTGTGATGGGGGAAGGGGGATTTCTGAGTGGGGGGGCTGTGTTGTGGGAGGGGGATTTCTGGGTTGGGAGGCTGTGATGGGGGAAGGGGGATTTCTGAGTGGGGGGGCTGTGTTGTGGGAGGGGGATTTCTGGGTTGGGAGGCTGTGATGGGGGAAGGGGGATTTCTGAGTGGGGGGGCTGTGTTGTGGGAGGGGGATTTCTGGGTTGGGAGGCTGTGATGGGGGAAGGGGGATTTCTGAGTGGGGGGGCTGTGTTGTGGGAGGGGGATTTCTGGGTTGGGAGGCTGTGATGGGGGAAGGGGGATTTCTGAGTGGGGGGGCTGTGTTGTGGGAGGGGGATTTCTGGGGGGGGGGGCTGTGATGGGGGAAGGGGGATTTCTGAGTTGGGGGGCTGTGTTGTGGAAGGGGGATTTCTGGGTTGGGAGGCTGTGATGGTGAAGGGGGATTTCTGAGTTGGGGGGCTGTGATGGGGGAAGGGGGATTTCTGGGTTGGGAGGCTGTGATGGGGAAGAAGGGTTTTCTGGGTTGGGAGGCTGTGATGGTGAAGGGGGATTTCTGTTTTTTGGGGATTTCTGGGATGGGTTGGCAGAATTTTGGGGGGAGGGGGAGCTGTGATGAACACAAAGGGGTGAAAATGGATGGCAGTTCAGCTCTCCCCCGTTCCTCCCAATTTCAGGATGTAAACAAGTGCAGGACGCATTTAATGATGGACGTGGAAGATCACTGTGGATTGGCTGTCTGCATTGTCAAAGCAATGTGTCACATGGACGTGGAGGGTTGCACACCCAGACCTGCTGGTGTCAATATGATATTATAGAGCCATTTATTTTAGAAAGTGTCTGATGTCATGAGGAAAAAAAATAACAGATATCACTCAAAATGATTTTGCCTCAAAACAATACGACATGACACGCTGAATTCACTAAGAGAGGGTTAGGCAACCCTGGCACTCTAGCCGTCTAGTTCCACTTAGTGGCGTAACTACCGCCATAGCGACCCATTCGGTTGGTATGGGGGTCCGGGGCAGAGGGGGGGCCTGGTCAGGAGATGGAGGAGGAGGCTGGGGCCCAGCGGCGGTGGAGGAGGCTGGGGCCCGGCGGGGGAGATGGCTTGGAGCTGACGGGTAAGAGGTGCACAGTGTGCAGGGAAAGGGATCCCAACAGCTTTCCTGAGACCCTGCAGAGCCCACCAATGAGAGTCTATGGTGGGCTCTGCAGGGTTACTCTCAGGTAGGCTATGCAGGGTCTCTGGTATATGTGGGCTCTGCGGGGTCACTCTCAGGTGAGCTGTGTGAGGTTTTGGAGTCTTGTGTCCAGCCACCGAGCACCTGGACACAAGACACTCAGTGCCGACACCGACACTTTAAATTTTCTGACAGATGCGGCTGCCGAGGTCCCTGGCAAGCGCGATCTCGGGCAGGCGCATCGGCCTGAAACCGAACTTCCTCTGAGCTGCGGGCTGCTTAGGCCTGTTTACAGTCTACCTGCAGCTCAAATGAAGATCCGAGTTTTGTGCAGATGTGGCCGCCCGATATCGCGCTTGCCAGGGATCTCGGCAGCCGCATCTGTGATCGCTCCTCCTCCGGCTCCTTGACACCGTGCTGCCTGCCTGCAGACCCCTGGTGAGACACCATAGCACAGCCCTCCTGAGTGTCGCACAGCCCTCCTGAGTGTCGCACAGCCCTCCTGAGTGTCGCACAGCCCACCTGAGTGTCGCACAGCCCACCTGAGTGTCGCACAGCCCACCTGAGTGTCGCACAGGCCACCCCAAGACATCAGGGCGCCAACCCAGGACAACACATGTGTATGTAGCTTCGTATTTTTTTTGTATTGCTGGGATTTGTAGTCCTCTATAGCTGGTCTCCTTACTCCCTCTCCTGTCTGCCTCTCCTCTAGTTTAAAAAAAAAATTGCTGTGCATAGTGCCAGTGTTTGGGTTTTACTTGAAGAAAAGGTGGCAACCCTAGGTCTCAGGTGGGCTCTGCAGCATTGAGCAATGGAGTGATCTCTTCTTGGGCATGACGAGGAGAATGACACTCATAATATCAGCGCCATTTATTTATTGTCATTTCAAGGATCACAAGTAACAGCTTTCCCTTTTACTCAGTTCCCGCCTTTTAATGAACGAGACACGCCTTTAAAGGCGGGGCCACCGCGTTGAGGTAAAGGAGTGGGCGTGTCACACGTGGCATTCTCGCTGCCGCTAACCGATTGGTTCTTCTCATCGAGTGGGCGTGACCGAGTGGGCCGCTGTTGCTAGCCCCGTCGTCCGCTGCCTTGGCGCTGTTCGCCGGAAGTGACGCGTGGCCGGAAGACGGTCCGTTTCCTGTTGTTTTTTTTTTTAATCTCCGTTCTGCACCGAACACCGGGGTTCACGTGACGTAAGTGGTCCGGAGAGGAATGAGAGTCTCTGTGAGTGCCTGTGCGCGAAGCGCTGGGGGTGGGCCGGAGGGATAAGTGGCAGCATGTCCGAACTATGAAGATTTGTTCCTGAAAATGCCCCTTTCAGTTGCTTGCACACACATTGCGATCGAACAATCTGATTTGGGCTGCCCATACTCTGATAGGTATGTGTATGAGCAGTCCAGATCAGATTGATATTTGTGTGTGCAAGAAATCCAGATCAGATTGGTATGTGTACAGGCAGCACAGAGCAGATTGCACTATCTGTACAATGTTCTGCGTGCTGCCTGTACACACAGCAATCTGATTGTACAATATTCTTTCTGCTGCCCATACACAGGTTTAACATTGCAGATCTGTGCTGGTGGGCTTGTAATGTGAGCTACAGGACGCCGTGGCTAGTTCTGTGATCAGTCTGGTGTCTTCCTGAACTCTGATTGGCAGGAGCCTCACTGCCAATGTCCTTACACCATGCCAGGGCCTGCCCTCTGATTGGCAGGACCCTCACTGCCAATGCCCTTACACCATGCCAGGGCCCGCCCTCTGATTGGCAGGAGCATCACTGGCAATGCCCTTACACCATGCCAAGGACCCCCTCTGCTTGATTGACAGGAGCCTCACTGGCAATGCCCTTACCCCATGCCAGGGCCCGTCCTCTGCTTGATTGGCAGGAGCCTCACTGGCAATGCCCTTACCCCATGCCCAGGCCCGCCCTCTGCTTAATTGGCAGGAGCATCACTGGCAATGCCCTTACACCATGCCAAGGACCCCCTCTGCTTGATTGACAGGAGCCTCACTGGCAATGCCCTTACCCCATGCCAGGGCCCGTCCTCTGCTTGATTGGCAGGAGCCTCACTGGCAATGCCCTTACCCCATGCCCAGGCCCGCCCTCTGCTTAATTGGCAGGAGCATCACTGGCAATGCCCTTACACCATGCCAAGGACCCCCTCTGCTTGATTGACAGGAGCCTCACTGGCAATGCCCTTACCCCATGCCAGGGCCCGCCCTCTGCTTGATTGGCAGGAGCATTACTGGCAATGCCCTTACACCATGCCAAGGCCCGCCCTCTGCATGATTGGCAGGAGCCTCACTGTCCGTACCCTTACATTATGGAAAGGCTTGCCCACCTGTTTGGTTGACAGAAGCTTCAGCAGGAGCATCACTGTCACTGCCCTAACATCATGCCAAGGCCCGCCCTCTGCTTGTTTGGCAGGAGCCTCACTGTCAGTACCCTTGAGTTATGCCATGGCCAGCCTGCCCATCTGCTTGATTGGCAGGAGCTCCTAGCAGGGGCCTCACTAATAATACAGCAGCTGTGGAACGCCCCCCTCCTCCTCCGCACCCCTTGCATCATGCCATTGCCAGTCCTCTATCAATGCTATCCCCGCACACAAGAAGTTGATGGGGGAGAGCGGCTGCGGCCATGTAACTGCGGAGTAAACATGAACAAAACAAGGTACCAGACGCTCGTTCCTCGTTTGCCTCAATGCCTCGTTCCTCGTTTGCCTCAATGCCTCGTTTGCCTCAATGCCTCGTTCCTCGTTTGCCTCAATGCCTCGTTTGCCTCAATGTCTCGTTCCTCGTTTGCCTCGTTTGCCTCAATGCCTCGTTCCTCGTTTGCCTCAATGTCTTGTCCTCGTTTGCCTCAATGCCTCATTTCACAGTTCTAAGCAGCGTTGGAATGTAATATGGTCATTTACATTACAGGTGTTCATATAGACTTTAAGGTGGCCTATTCATTTTGAATGACCTGTCAATACCCCAAAAACCATCCCTGATCTCAGACGGGTGGACCGGTATGTAGATAGGGGAAGCGCAGTCACTGCGCAGCATTGGGATTTGTACGGAGGAGAGCCGAGTTCCATCATACCGGTGCTCACAGCTCACCGCTTTGCATGTCCCTGACAGCTCAATGGGCTTTGCTGCATCTGTGCATTCTCTGTGTTTGTGTTCACCCCTGCTGTGTCTAAATGATCGCTCTTCATCCATGGCGAGGAGCGGAGCCAGTCATTTGTGCAGCAAAGGCCATCCACCAGCTTGGCAAGCTAGAGCTTCTCCTGAAAGAACCATAATGAAAGGGTTAACAGAATCTATTATGTAATAAATACAGTATAACTATCCCCATCGTTATATACCAAGCAGTCATTACATTAACCCTTTTCTGCTGGTGGGAGCTGGCCCTTTAAGGGGATATTAACATTGAAAGCTGGTAGATGGGCTCCCGTTCATCTGATCATTATGATTGGCTGTCACTGCTCATGTGATCATGAGCCTGTGTTACCTGTAAACATTGACCGGGAGCTGAGCGTGACATCTCAGTCGCAGTGCTAGGGGTACTCAGTTCCAGAACAGCGATGCCAGCTGTATGCATTTATATAACAGCGCAGCATTGAAGCCTGACGTCATGCTGCCATGCATATGGCCGGGGGAAGAGGTTCTCCGTCTGGGCCACAGACCCCAATAATAACCTCACAGATGTTCCCCACTCTGTCCAAAACTAAAACCAGCAAAGTGTTGCCTGGAATTGGGCTTTAGGGCAGAGCGTGCACAGGTTATCACTGTTCCTGGATATTTTGTTATATATTATGTTACAACTATGATTGTTCGAGTGACAAACATCCCATTGTTAATAGTATTGGGGTACACTGCGCCCAAACCCTGAATCAGGGCACCCTTATGGTGGATGGGGTGCTGAATGCCAATAGGGGCTCATCCTGTCCCCTAAAGATTGTACAAAGGAAAAGATTGGCAGCACGATGAAGAAAATTAAAAAACTAGTAGCTTTATTTATCCAGACAACATGAACACAGAGTCCCCATCTGGGATCTCCGCAACCGACACACTTAACCAAGGATGGGCTTTACCTTAAAGGTACAATTAGAGAACCTCTATAATTAAGCCCAGCCTTGTGGGTGCGACACGTCAGAGGAGGAGATCCCGGGTGGGGACCCTTTGTCTGTGGAGGAGATCCCGGGTGGGGACCCTATATCAGAGGAGGAGATCCCGGGTGGGGACCCTTTGTCTGTGGAGGAGATCCCGGGTGGGGACCCTATATCAGAGGAGGAGATCCCGGGTGGGGACCCTTTGTCTGTGGAGGAGATCCCGGGTGGGGACCCTATATCAGAGGAGGAGATCCCGGGTGGGGACCCTTTGTCTGTGGAGGAGATCCCGGGTGGGGACCCTATATCAGAGGAGGAGATCCCGGGTGGGGACCCTTTGTCTGTGGAGGAGATCCCGGGTGGGGACCCTATATCAGAGGAGGAGATCCCGGGTGGGGACCCTTTGTCGGAGAAGGAGATCCCGGGTGGGGACCCTTTGTCGGAGAAGGAGATCCCGGGTGGGGACCCTTTGTCGGAGGAGGAGAACCCGGGTGGGGACCCTTTGTCGGAGGAGGAGAACCCGGGTGGGGACCCTTTGTCGGAGGAGGAGATCCCGGGTGGGGACCCTTTGTCGGAGGAGGAGAACCCGGGTGGGGACCCTTTGTCGGAGGAGGAGAACCCGGGTGGGGACCCTTTGTCGGAGGAGGAGAACCCGGGTGGGGACCCTTTGTCGGAGGAGGAGATCCCGGGTGGGGACCCTTTGCCAGGGGAGGAGATCCCGGGTGGGGACCCTTTGCCAGGGGAGGAGATCCCGGGTGGGGACCCTTTGTCAGGGGAGGAGATCCCGGATTGATCCTCTGTTCATGTTGTCCAGATAAATAAAGCTACCAGAGTTTACATTTTCTTGGGAGTAAATCCAGTCTTTTCCTTTGGCATTTGTTACCCCATTGTTAAAAAGAACACACCACAGGAATGATATGTTTAGTTTTTTTCTTTTTTATTTGCTGCCGTTTACAGTATAATGTTGTCTCTATTTATAGACTGGTGACAAGATGGCGACTCCCGTCACCGCACAGTGCTCCAGTAAAACATGGGAGCTCAGTCTGTACGAGCTGCACCGCACCCCACAGGTATGTCCATGCATGCATATTATGCCCCCGGATTCTTTGGTGCCACTCTGACAAGGATCCATGTGAGCACTTCTCTCTTTATCTCTGTCATTCTAGGAAGCCATCATGGACGGTACAGAGATTGCCGTGTCCCCGCGCAGCCTTCACAGTGAGCTCATGTGTCCCATCTGCCTGGACATGCTGAAGAACACGATGACCACCAAAGAGTGCCTCCACCGCTTCTGCTCAGACTGCATCGTCACTGCTCTACGCAGCGGGTCAGTTTCTTCACAAGTGCTTACTGCTCCTTCATCTCCGCTGGCAGTTGGGCTCCTTTTATGGCTTCTGAATTTATGGGCTTTTATGACCAAAGTGGTTCTGGGGTTTAGCTGCCTGTATGTTGGAAATAGATACACACATCACCGTGATACCTGTATTGGTTTAATGACCGAGTGTCTCTTGTCTTCAGGAACAAGGAATGTCCCACGTGCAGAAAGAAGCTTGTCTCTAAACGCTCCCTTCGCCCAGATCCCAACTTCGACGCTTTAATCTCCAAGATCTACCCCAGCAGAGACGAGTATGAGGCCCATCAGGATCGCGTCCTGGCAAAGCTGAGCCGGCTGCATAATCAACAGGCCCTGAGCAGCAGCATTGAGGAGGGGCTTAAAATGCAGGCGATGAACAGGTACATGATGACGGGAGCACATGATGGTGAGGGTGTATTGTCCTCCTGCTGTCACATAACCACACTGAACATGTCTACATGTTCTCCATTCTCTGAGCAAACTGTCCAGTGCACAGTTGACATACTTATATGAGAATGGTATTGCATGCCTAAGGTTTAGCAGTACTGTTCAGCCAGTTTGGTGATCCAGATACTCCTGACAGAGAGCACAGGCAGCTCCATGACCTCTCTATGTGGACTATAGTGCAATAAAGCTTGGTCCAGGACCCACCCCAGCTTGTGACTGAATGATGGTTACACAACTATTACATATTCATTGCCAACTTAAAGGAGAATTATGAGGCAAGTGATTTTCACTCAGCCTCATAATCTGAGCCGATGTGTGACAATGAAACTATCACACGTCGGCTCAGTAGATCGGGAAATGAGTGAACACATACCGTCGCTCGCTCACTTCTCGATCATCTCCCTGCAGAGAGCCGTGACTGTCACTCACGGCGCCCTGCAGGGATTCCCCCCTCCCCACTCCGATCCTCCAGTGTTGACTGGCAGGTCGGACGGGGGAGGGGGTAGGCACAGCTGGCTCTGCCTCTGGATAGGCAGAGCCAGCTGTCAATCCCACAGCTGGGTGGATCTCGACAGTAATGTCGGGATCCGTCCTGGCTGCGGCGTCTCAGTATACCCCGAGCTGTAGCTCGGGGTATACTGAGCTTTGGGTGACGGGAGAACGCTAGTTTGTGTTCTCCCGTTACCCTTAGGAGAACTATGGGGAAAAGCCCTGACCCCATAGTTCTCCTTTTAATATTTGCACACACGGGTGGTAGTTCACATAAAGATCTTGCTTCTTTTTACCCCTATTTCCCCTTCCTTTGACTTGTATCTCCTTCCTTCCTTTTGTTCAGGGCACAGCGGGTCAGAAAACACCAACACGAGTCAGACAACACTACTTTCAGTGGTGGAGAGGACAACTGCGACAGTCGTTCCCATGTCAGTAATCCATCTGTACATAGCAACCAGGAGGCCGGGCCAAGCCGCAAGAGGTCCCGAGCCTCGGAAGATTCTGGGGCAGAACCCGATCTGTCACACGAAGGCGGGGTACGAAGTCCAGACCCACAAGGAACAGGCGAGGCTGGTAGCGAGATCGAGCTGGTGTTCAGGGCCCATCCGTTGCTGGTGGAGAAGGACGGTTACAGTCAAACCAGGTGAGCGCGCACAAAAGCTGTTCCGTCTGTTCCGTCTTCTTTATTACCTTGACTTTATGCCGTGTAGGTCTGAACGTTTGGCCGTTATCTGCAGGTTTGTGAAGACCACAGCAAATGCCACAGTGGACCATCTCTCCAAGTATCTGGCCCTTCGGATCGCTCTGGAGGAACAGGCTCAGAGGGGAGGAACAGAGGCCGTGTCTCTCGGGGAGGTCAGCGAGAAGCAATACACAATTTATATCTGCGCGGGGGCTGCCGGTGGACAATACACGGTAGGAACATTCTTTTGGCGGGTGAGAAAATGCTTAATCGATAAATGTGAGTCATAAGTGCAACTTTGTAGTGTATATGTGAACAAGTACGTGGCGCTGTGAACTCTGATATAAGATTATTACACTGAAGAGACCCGCAGCGTGTTGTGATCAGCAGCCACGAATCTGTCCATTGCTGGTACGCGTTTCAAAGCTAGAGAAGGAAATTGCAGAGCAGAAATAATGATTTATTGTATTTAACGTATTTTGCGGTCCATAAGACGCTCCCAGGACTCTCCTTTTTGGGGGGTTCTCTGGAACATGTGAGAAGCCTCACCAAAGTGAGTCAACATGACCAAAGCGATTCTCATTCTCACCATTGGGTATTAGTAGTAGATGTACCCAGATGTTATTCTGATGACCATTGTCACCAGGACAAAAAATAAAGGGAAGTCGAAAAATTGACAGTTGTCTCTAGAGAGGGAGAATCTCCTAAACTGTACACCGGCTTTGTTGCTGGCTGCTCATTTGGGGCAAAGTAACGGGTTCAATTGATAGTCCTTCTGTTGTAGGTACCATCTCCACGCTCCCCCCATTGCCGCATTTTCCCCCTGGAGCATGATCTTCTACCCTTCCACCATGGTGCAGTGCTCAGCGCCTAAGCTGCCAATTGCTAGATCCCAAGTACTGTCACATGGGAGCGGGGGCGGGATCGTCACCTTGTGAAAGTTTCCCGGCACAGAGCTTATTTAGGACTTTCTAAATGGGACTCTGACAGGTGAACGAGTCGGCACAGTATAAGTAGCAGAGGAGGTGAGCTGTTATTTTACCCTAAAGTGTATGTAGAGCCAAAGCTGTGTTTTTGGGAGTTGTGAAGGAGACCTCGAATGCTGTTTGAAACCCTGTTGGGCTGACTCACCCTCTATATCTGTCCTGGTAACCAATGTCACCAAGACAGAAGGTGACGGGTAATGTAACATTCCACCAGTACCGAGTAGATTTATAACTTTCCAGTCACCAATGCTCACACTCGCTGCTGATTGGAGAGCTCTAGCTCCGACCCAGCAGGGGGTTTATTGGACCGCTGCATAGAGGCCTCTGCTTCCACACGGAAAACAAAGGTCCTTCTCTGCAGCATGATCAACACAGAGTGTAAGCTTTGCTGATTGACTCACCAGCGAATGTGTCAGACCTTTGTAGTGGGACCACTGCTTCCATGCAGAGCAAGAGTCCTTATCTGCAGCACACTGGCAGAGGCAGGCTTTTCTACTCGGGCTGTGGCTGCTTTCTGAAGAAAATTAACTTTAAGGGCTCGTTCACACCAGATGCAATGCGTTACAGCCCGATTCTGGCCAGAACAGACTGCATCGCATTGCGGCCAGCTCACTGTTGTGGGGCAGGAGGGGGCATGGCGGTCCATTGAAGTGAATGACATCGTAGCTACGCCCTCCGGTCAGAAAAAAATGCTGCAAACACTACTTTGTTCGGACCGGACAGCAGGCATAATGTGCCTTGCGTTCCAGGGCGGCCGATCGCATTGCGGCCAGAGGGCGTGGCTACAGTGCCATTCACTTCAACTCCCCCTCCTGCCCCATAACATAGTGAGCCGGCCGCAATGGGATGCAGTGCGTTCTGGCCAGAATCGGGCCGTAACGCACTGCATCTGGTGTGAACGGGCCCTAAGGCCCGGTTCACACCTGGGCCTTTTGTAGCGCGTTCGTACGCTCTGCAAAACGCTCAAACACCGAAATCCCATTATTTCCTATGGGTATGGTTCACACCTGGGCGGTTTACAGCGCGTATGAATGCACTACAAAACGCCCTACGCCCAAAGAAGTACAGGAACTTCTTTGGGGCGTATTTGCCGCGCCTATCCATTGGGATACAGCCAGGTAGCCCTCGGAAACGTGCGTTTGTTGCGCGTTTAAATCGCGGTAAAAACGCGCATATTCAATACGCCTAGGTGTGAACCCAGCCTAAGGCTTTGTTCATCTTTCTTTTGATGCACCAGGAATGTATTTAGTTGATTTGCAAGTTCATTTGACCTTTAACATTCTCCATTTCATGACCTCCTGGATATTTCTCTCTTCCTCAGACTTTGAATGGATCGTTAACCCTGGAGCTCGTCAATGAGAAGTACTGGAAGGTGAGCAAGCCTCTGGAGTTGTATTATGCTCCCACCAAGGAGCAGAAATAAAAGGGGGCACCTCCCTCGGGGTGTGAGGAGATAGACTGACTGGAAACCTAGAGACGGTTCTCCTCACACAGTCCCCACCGTAGAGTTATTCTACAGCCAAACTTATGTGGTGAGGCACCAAAAAGAGACAAATGGTAAAATGTGGCCACCGTAGGAGGACGGTTCACCAGCTCAATGTCATTGTGTGGGCGGCCGCCGCCGCCGACCAGAAGCACGCAGGGGTCCTCCATCACCCCGCATAGTCTGCTGACCAGAAGCAAGCAGCGGTCCTCCATCACCCCGCATAGTCTGCCGACCACAAGCAAGCAGCGGTCCTCCATCACCCCGCATAGTCTGCCGACCACAAGCAAGCGGTGTCCTCCATCACTTGGCAAAGTCCAGGAGCACAATTAGGCAGAAGCCAAGCCATTCATTGGACCCCCTGCCATAGACTTCAAGTGCTACTCCATCAATCGCGTTATTGGGATGAAGTCCCATGAAGACGAAATTGTCACCTTCTCCAAACTCCTTTTCCCACCCCTCAGCTCATTCACTTCGCTCCTCGGTTCTTAGTGGGATTATAATAATTTATATAACGTTTCACTATATTGCGCTGGTATTTTCCTACGCTTGTAACGGTCTTTTATACTAGAAGGTTTATTTTTAGGTTTTTATTTGCCTTTTCGTGCCGAGAGGGGGAAAAAAAAAAACGTTAACAGCAGCAATATATCTACTTTCTGTACTCAGTCTAAATATCGTGTTTCTCTATTATAATTTTTTCCTACGCAGAAACGAAAGTCTCTTCTTGGTAGGATTCAGGATTTGTTTCTTTCGTGTGAGCTGTGCAGGGTAAAACGCTTTTCAGTAAATACATTTTTTTTTTTGTTTGACATGAACTGTTCTTTAGGTCTGTGTCCAGAAGGATAAGCTAACTTGGTTTACTGAGGAAGGTTGTTGGAACGTCCGCTATAGCTGGCGGGGGGGGGGGGCGACGGGCGGCCCTTCGGCTGTTCTGGGGGGAATACAAGTTGCAGCATGCTTTCCTATTGACTGGAGGGCCCCAGTCTGATCATAGTGTTCTAGTTCTGTGATTGGTGATGGTCAGGGGGTGTTATACAGGGAGTTTCCCTCCTCATATGGACAAGCTCAAGGGTTGAAGGGATTCATTTCACCCCCAAAAAATCTATTTCAATTTTGCATGGTTCATAGAAAGGTAAAGATGAAACACCCTTGCAGTAGGGCTACTCCAAGCACTGCAAGGGTTAAGTGCCCGCTTTGTCTATGGGGCTCAGATAAAGCTGTGATCCTCCTCCTCGTGGCGGTCAGCGCTCACCTCTCTTCCCCTCGCCGCTTCAGCTGTGTAATGTCCTCGCGTCTAATGCAGGTCAATGGACCTGCATGAGATGTGATGATGTCAGCGGTCCTTAGACCTCTGGAGCCTGGGGGAAAAGAGGCTGCAGGGGTCGGTCTAGCAACCCAGTGGGAGCGAGGATTATTTAGACCTCCTGTCTGGATGTTATCGCTCTCTCTGTCTCTGCTATGAACATTCACTCTCATTTGTTCCGGTGACCATCATCACTGGGACTAAGTGAAAATAATTCCAAAATCTAGAGTTGTCACCAGAACAGGAATAGAGGGGAGATCCACCAATTGGGATACTTTGATTCAACGACAATTTCCCTTAATTTTAAGACATTTCATCTCACATCCTATTGCGTGTACAGGACAGGAAGTAAAGGGAAACCTCTCTGATTGGACACAAAAAAACTGTCAGGTTTGAACCCCTTGCTCTATCCAAAATAAAAAAAAGGTTTTGGCTTTAGATCTACTTTAAACTGTATTTCCACTTTTGCAGACAAATTGGTCACGTTCCCATTCACATCCCATAACTTACATTTGTTTAAATTGCTGCTCACACAATACGTGCTCCGTTCTGAACGAAAAGTTGTTCTCTGCATTTGGTGTAGAAAGCGGGGGATGGGGGTGCAGGTTAATGTCACCATAATAAACCCTGTCTGTACCATGCTCACAGATCTCATCAAATGTAATCTAGAGTTGAACAATGTCTGTCCTGTACGGCTGCAACTAATGAATATTTTCATAATTGATTAGTTGGCCGATTATTTTTTGATTAATTGGATTTAAAAAAAAAGGAAATAACATCCTTAATTTAAAATACACAAATGCCGTGATGCAAACATAAAGTTTACTTCAGAATAAATCTGCATGCACAATGTTTTGCAATCGCACTGCACTGGAACGCATGGCATTGTGGTACTGTACTGTGTTCCAGTGTGGGCGATCACAACACACATCCCGCAGCAGAATTTGTCAGGCCAAACCCGATAACCCCCCCCCCCCCCTGCCATTAAGAATGTAAAAAAAAAATAATTGTATTGTAAGCACACGGCGCTTGAATAGCTTCATCCCGGGAATGACGGCTGCCGGTAGCACGATTCCGCATACGGCAGCTGAATATAAATACAGCAGGTAGTGGGCTGGTGCAATAGCCAGCCTGCTATAGGCCATTTCAAATTGTAATAGCCAATAGCGGGCTGGCTATTGCACCCGCCCACTGCAGCATGGAGGAGAGAACTATGGGATCCAACCTACTATTCCATAATGAGAATAGTTGACAACTATTCTCATCGATTAGTTGGTTGCAGCCTTACTGTCCAAACAATGGGTTAGGGATCTAGAAGCATTGTATGTTAATGAGAGGAATCTCAGTCTGTCCCGACTCTTTGGGGACAGTCAAAGCTTCCTGTCATTTGGAAATGAGAGAGAAGCTTGCAAAGGCTCCCGCTTCGCAGAGCCATCTAAAAGGTAAGACAAATTTAAAAAAAAAAAAAAATATATATATATAATGTTTAAACAGCATACATTCCTATTCACACAGAATACATGAACAAATAAAAAATATGCTGGGTGGGTAGGAGCGTATGCTGTATTGAATAGCAGCGTATGCTGTATTGAATAGCAGCGTATGCTGGGTGGATAGGAGCGTATGCTGGGTGGATAGGAGCGTATGCTGTATTGAATAGCAGCGTATGCTGGGTGGGTAGGAGCGTATGCTGGGTGGGTAGGAGCGTATGCTGGGTGGATAGGAACATAAAAATATAAAGGGGTTTTCTCAAATTTGACTGCAAAAGTAAAAATCCACTTTAAATGACACGCTGCCCTCTAGTCGGGGACTGCGTTGGTGACACATCTCCACGAGATCATCCGGTTTTGTCTAAATGCCATACCCGTTACATTGCCAGGTGATGGTGTCATGTTTTCTATATAGATTCCTAATATTGTAGATCATCTTTTTAGAATTTGGGGATCCAGCCGGATGAATGTCGGCTCCAATACAGCTTGATGGAACGGGGAGGAGGAACAAACGATCGCAGGGTGATCCCACCAGTGAGGTTTCCGATAAGACCCCAGAATGTGATCTATGCAACCAGTACCCGTTATAGAATTGAAATGTCACTTTGGGTGAAATGGACTATTTAGGAAGAACTCTGGGATTTTTTTTAACATTAACCCTTTCAGCGGGGCTTCTCACTTCAAGGAGGGGGTGGCAGGCACAGTATTGAGCAGGCTTGGGGTGAACAAGCCCAGGTTCATCTCTATTGGCACATAGGCTTGGACAATGTCACCTGAGGAGGAGGAAGTTATCCCTGTGTGAGCTCTGACACCACCCGACATGGAGCTTACACAAGGTCAGGATGGAGGAACAGAGCGTGGGTATCACTAGGTGGAAGCCCCTTACAAGAGAACCTGTCACTTTACACACCGTTCTGTTGTATTGTGTCAGGATATTGAAGAGAGTCAATGAAGCTCCGACCGCATCATCGTTCTTGCACTTAACGGGTGTCAGCAGCGTCCTATTTCTGTCTTTGTACCGATCAGCTCTCTGTACGCAGAAAATGTTTTCTTTCCTTTTTAAATGTTTTAGTAAATACGGCTTTTCCGTGCCCATCGTATTTACCTGCTGTGTTATCGTACGACTTGTGAGGAATTTATACGCCAATAAATTTTCCTTTACTTTTGGTTGGTTTTTCAGCGTGGTAGGAGGAGTTTTGGAGGAGATCACATGCTCCAGGATTAGGAAGGTAAACAATGGCCTGGCTAATCCAATTTAGTTCCTGGGCCCGATCACACCAGAGCGTGTTGGTAATGCTTGTTACTGCAGCGCATGAAACGCATTCTGAATAGCACTGCAGCGCACGCGTGAACTATCTGCGTCACCATTGCACATTCAGTTTAGGCCTCATTCACACCAGAAAAGGCCGACATGTCCAGCTGCGTGCACGGCCGTATCGGGCAGCTCCCGGGAAGGACAGGTGCTGCGTGTGATTAGTACGCAGCCCCCGTCCTTCTCTATGGGAGTACGCCGCCCTGCACGTCCGTGCGAGTGTCCGTACAGGATGGATCATGTCTGCATCCGAGCCAGGAAACACGGACCTGCACTTGAAGTGAGCGTAGGACGGCGTACGGCTGCGTAATCCCATAGAGAAGGACGGGAGCTGCTTACTAATCACACGCAGCACCTGTCCTTCCCGGGAGCTGCCCGATATGACCGTGCACGGAGCTGGACGTGCCGGCCGATTGTCGTGTGAATGGGTGCTAAGGCCCGGTTCACACCTGGGCGCTTTGTAGCGCGTTCGAACGCTCTGCAAAACACTCAAACACCGAAATCCCATTATTTCCTATGGGTATGGTTCATACCTGGGCGTATTACAGGCCGTATGAACGTGCTACAAAACGCCCTACGCCCAAAGAAGTACAGGAGCTTCTTTGGGGCGTTTTTGTTGCGCGTTTCCATTGGGATACAGCCAAGTAGCCCTCTAAAAACCGTGTGCGTGACGCGCGTTTTTTAACCGCGAATCGCGGTAAAAACGCGCATATTCGATGCGCCTAGGTGTGAACCGGGCCTAAAGGTGCATCCTGGTGCATTGGCAGCTCATTGCAAATGAATGGGCTGCCTAACATCATGTACAACGCATGTTAAATGTAACACAGAAGTGTAAATACGCTCTTAAAGGATTGAAAAGAGTGATGTTAACCCTTTCACAATCAGAGGTCATTGATGTCTAGCTCAGCGTTTCTTAACCTTTATTTAATCACAGCTCCCTTTAAAAGTATTCAAAATCT